TGGCCAAATTGGCTAGCCCAGCGCCCTAGAGAGCACCCTTCGTTTAAAGACCGTGTCAGGCGGTTTATTAAAGCCCAGGGCAGAATTAAGATCCGGAACGTGGAAATAACCACGAGGAGGAGAACATCTTAACTTCTGGAGAAAGTCTCCGAGGATTCGGGCGGCATTTTCAAAGCACGTGGAGAAGCGGCCTTTGAACAGTTTCTGCCACCGGTCTCGCACGACGCTGAGCAAGGCAGGAGGTCCTCGACTTATAACCACAATGGAGCCTAAACTTTCTGTGGCAAAGAGAGACAGTGGTTGAGTTGAGTTTGGCCCCATTTTCTTGCCACGCTTGTTAAGAGGATCGCTGCAGTGGTTAAGTGAATCTGGGTTGTTAAGTGAATCTGGGGACCGCGTCTGGGGACCGCGTCATAAATATGAGTCAGTTGCCAAGCGTCTGAATTTGGATCACATGACCGTGGGGATGCTGCAATGGTTGTGTGAAAAACAGTCATAAAACTCCGAATGGTGACTAAATGAAGCCTGATTCTGTACAATCTGTAATAATAATAATAGTAGTAATAATGATAATGATGATAATGATAATAATAATAATAATAATAATAATAATAATGATGATGATGATGATGATGATGTTTGGAGGGACCTTGGAGGTCATCTAGTCCAACCCCCTGGTCAGGCAGGAAACCCTATACCATTTCGGACAAACGGCTGTCCAGTCTCTTCTTAAAAACTTCCAGTGTTGGCGCATTCACCGCTTCTGGAGGCAGGTTGTTCCACTGGTTAATTGTTCTCACTGTCAGGAAACTTCTCCTTAGTTCTAAGTTGCTTCTCTCCTTGATTAGTTTCCATCCGTTGCTTCTTGTCCTGCCTTCAGGTGCTTTGGAGAATAGCTTGACTCCCTCTTCTTTGGGGCAGCCCCTGAGATACTGGAACGCTGCTATCATGTCCCACTTCGTCCTTCTCTTCATTAAACTAGACAGACCCAATTCAACCAAGGAGCGGGGTTTGTTCCCTGAACAAAGATACAGAGAAAGCATTGATGATGTCCCCTAGTTGGGTAATGAAATGTCTGGAAGAAAACAACCAAGCTCAAACAGCATTAAGGACTCCACAGTCCTCCTCCTCTCCTCCTTGTTCCTCACTCCGCAAACCCCACTCCCTTCTAGCACTGATGATGTTACCTAGCTGGGTAATGAAATGTCTATAAGAAAACAACTAAGCTCAGAGAGCTCCAAGGACATCATAGTCCTCCTCCTCTTCTTCTTCCTCCTCCCCCCCTCCTCTCCTCCTCCTCCTCCTGCTCCTCCTCTTCCACTCCACTAACCCCACTCTCTTCTAGCACTGATGACGTTCCCTAGTTGGGTCATGAAACGTCTGCAAGAAAACCACCAAGCTCAGAAAACACCAAGGACCCTACAGTTCATCCTGAGCTACAAATATTCTCTCCTAATGAAAACTTATATTCTATAAAAGTATTGGGCAGATTAAAGCAAGCAGGAGAACCTAAAAAAAGTCTTTCTATATGGAATAATAGGATTTTTTTAAAAGATAAATGAAGGACGACTAGCTCATTAGAACTTGTGACCTGCAATCAGTTCATTCTTTTTTTTTTTTTCACTGACAGGTTTTGCTTTCCCAGACTGGGCCTATAAACCGGAGTCGAGTCCCGGTTCCCGTCAGATCCAGCTCTGGCACTTTATCCTGGAGCTGCTGCAGAAGGAAGAATACCAGAATGTCATCGCCTGGCAAGGGGACTACGGCGAGTTTGTCATCAAGGACCCCGACGAAGTGGCCCGGCTTTGGGGTATTCGTAAATGCAAGCCCCATATGAACTACGACAAGCTGAGCCGGGCTCTGAGGTGAGAGATGGAGAAGACACAGATTTTGGGTCATTTTAGCATCTGGGGTTGAGGGGGTCCAATGTTTCTCAGCCTTGGCAACTTTAAGAGCCTGCCTCCAGAAGCGGTGAATGCTCCAACACTGGAAGTTTTGAAGAAGAGACTGGACAGCCATTTGTCCGAAATGGGATAGGGTTTCCTGCCTGAGCAGGGGGTTGGACTAGATGACCTCCAAGGTACCTTCCAACTTTATTATTATTAACGTTTCGGCGGGCTGAGGAGCTGGAGAAGGAGCCCGCGCTTCAGGCTAATTGGAGAATGGAGCCGTGGACTTCAATTCCCAGAATTCCCCAGGCAGCATAGAATTCTGGGAGTCGGTCCACAGATCTTAAAGTTGCTCCAGTTGAGAAACACCGTTCTTAAGTGAGGAAGGGTACTAAAGCTTCAGGTTAGGTCTTCAGCGTTTCCATCTAGGCTGCATTACACACTTGCACCCAATTCTCATTAACAGTGGGAATCAGGATTGTCCAAGGCTTGAAGTGCACCTAGGTTTTTTTTTTTGGGGGGGGGAAACTCATGTGTTGATTAAAGCAGTAATTTGCTTTAACAACTGTGGCAAGAATTGGGGCAAAACTCACTTAACAGCTAACTCGCTTAGCGACAAAAATCTGGCGCTCGATTGTGGTCGTAAGTCAAGGACTACCTGTAATGGGGTTATGATCTTGTTTGTGATCAAAACTTCTGGTCATACAGAGCTGCTATTCACACAGTATGTATTAAGCATATGACCAAGGAAAGAATAACAGAATGGTTAATTTATCCTAAACTGCACACCATTCCTGAAGAAAACACCTGTGGAGAATGTCCTGTGTTTCGAGATTTGTATGAGCAAACTCAAACTTATTTAAACCGCATTCAGCATTTTAACGCAGCATGAAAAATATAATTATTTACATGGTTTGAGGCTCTCTTTTTGGAGAGCCTCAAACCATGGAGAGCTAAGGAGAGCAATTGGAAAGTGATACGATTTAAGTTTGCCTTGCCTTTAAATTTGCTTCTATAAAAAGACAAAGTTAGCAAGAAAAGTTGGCATAATCATAATTTATTAACTTGTACGCTGTATCTCAACTATTCTGTGCAGCTTACAACAATCCCAGAAAGAAATTGGAAGAATGTAGCTACGTTGCTTTGAGCACCCCAAAATGTACTATATTAACGCCAACTTCCAGTGCCTGAATGTTTGACCGGTTATTTAAAAACAAATAGTCTTTGAAAAGTGTTTTAACGAATGGACAGTAATTCATTTTCCATTATAAGGATTCAAAAAAAGTTTAGACAGTGACTGCCATCTTCAAAAGAGGATTTCTCTCTGCATGAAGGATGATCTGTTGCATTTTAAAGGGCTTTGCATAAAGGCTCGTTCATCATCTAACTCCAAAGAAGCCGTAGAACTATTATTATTTTTTGCTTCGGAGAACGGCTGGCGTATTTATAAGCACTCTTGATTAATTAAGTGGCCTACCAAAACTCTTATGATTAATTAGCAAAACTTCCGTGATGTAGCAGCCACCCTATTAAATATTACGGTTACCTGTAATATCAGTTTATCATCCTGTCATGTCATGAACGGTACATTCCTTTTCAGGTTTCGGGGGAAAAAACCCAAAAACCTCGACTTTCTTCCACCTCTTCAAAGCGCACGATAAAACCCACAAGTGCTCCACGGTTACCTTCTCCGTAATTGATCGACAGCAATATTTGTTATCGCCTATTAATTAACTGCATCTCTCTGGCCACTCGAGATTCCTCTTTCCTAATTAATATTTATGAGGAGCTAAACGCTATTGACACTTCCTATTAACTCAGCCGGGGAATTCAGCAACGGCATTGCCCAGTAAATAAATTCTGAAGACGCCCTGGTAACCCCACAGGAGAAACTCAAAAGAGATGGATTGCCAGCACAGACTTAAAGGCAACTTGGTGGCAATACGCTACATGGCCTGCTAGGGGGCGCTTTATTTGAAATTGTGCTGATTTCTCCAACTACACACCATTAGGGGGCACTGCACTGCAAGAAGGAAAGGGTGATTTCATCTCCTTTCCAAAAGAATGAGAAACAGTTCTATTTAGTTGGTATTTTTCCCCCACGGGGCTAAATTATTGCTGAAAGAAAGAAAAAAAAGGATCTAAAAGGTTCTACGGTTGGTTTAGCTATAATCTCTATAGAATTTAAATAGAGAATTCTATGTGAGTTTTTTTTTAAAAAAAGCAGCCTGCCTACCGCTGTTACATATGTGCAAATAAGGATCGAATCGTTTTAAGTCAATGCAGTGCTTTGGTGATTGATATTAGAAAAAAAAGTTTTTTTTATCTTTTGGATTTTGCCTTCTTCTGCCCCAAACTCTTAGCCTGAGTCAGATTTCAATGATTTTTATTAGAGAATGAGGGAGAGGGAAGTGAATAGGAGTCTCCCATCGCTCCACAAGGTGGAATACTTCTGAACCAGCTGTAGAAGTGATTGTCAAGACTCCAGATCAATTGCCTCCCACGTTTTGAAATCTGCTGTTGGACAACGCAGAATTAAGTTGTTGTTGTTGTTGTTGTTGTTGTTGTTGTTGTTGTTCTTCTTCTTCTTCTTCTTCTTCTTCTTCTTCTTCTTCTTCTTCTTCTCCTCCTTCTCCTCTTCTTTCTTTCTTTCTTTCTTCTTTTTCTTTCTTCATCAAATTTTAAACTGCCAAAATGAAGCCACCATTTTGGCTTTGTTGTTGTCCAAAAATAATTCATTATGGGTACAGAAGCTGGCCTGTTCGGCCAAGAGGGAAAATCCCAAGGAATTAAGTGTCCTGTTGTGACTATTGCCACCCTGTTGCCTGTCATTTGGATTAATCATCATCATCATCTTCTTCTTCTTCTTCTTCTTCTTCTTCTTCTTCTTCTTCTTCTTCTTCTTCTTCTTCTTCTTCTTCTTCTTCTTCTTCTTCTTCTTCTTCTTCTTCTTCTTCTTCTTCTTCTTCTTCTTCTTCCTCTTCCTCTTCCTCTTCCTCTTCCTCTTTGCTGATAGTGGCTAAGAAAAAGGTTAAAGGTTAAGAAGTTATTTCAGAACTTCTGTCTTCCTTTTGTACTCCTGATTAAACGCAGGATGGATGGTGCAAAATAAATGGAAGCCCACTGACTTATCCTGGCATGTGGTTTTAACCCCGAAATTGACTTGTTCTGAGGAAGCAGTTCCCATCTTGTGCCTCCTTGATAATATTCTGCTTTTATTTTTGGAATGAGGAATTTAGATCTGTCCACCAACTGATAGCTCGGCTTCTCCACTCTTTTCCGCAGATATTACTACAACAAGCGGATCCTCCATAAGACCAAGGGGAAACGCTTCACCTACAAGTTTAACTTCAGCAAAGTGGTCTTGGTTAATTACCCACTCCTGGACATGGCTGCCAACTCCCCGTTTCTCCTCACTCAGAATCCTTTCAACGGGAGCAACCACGGAGCTGACTGCACCCCGCTGACCCCCGAGGTATGACAAGCCAGGGAAAGAACAGAGCTAGGATGTAACAGTATGTGCGAAAGATCTTGGGAGATGGGGAGGAGGTGGGGAGAGATGCGGCCTAGGGCAAGGCTCTCCAATCTTGGCAACTTTAAAACTTGTGGACTTCAACTCCCAGAATTCCTCTTCCATGGCTGGCTGAGGAATTCTGGGAGTTGAAGTCCACAAGTCTTAAAGTTGCCAAGGTTGAAGATCCTGGCCTAGGGAACGGTCAGAGAAGAGAAGGCACAGTTTGCGGCTGCATAATGGGCAGAGGGACACAGAAAGGATCCCACCTAACTTCTCAGCTTATAAAAGAGATCAGACAGGAGATTTGTCCTATCAGACTTACACAACCAGATTTGCTAATTCTACTTTATTGTAAGATTACCTTAACTGACTCTAATGACCATGGGATTCATTTAACAGCCGCAGCGGTCAGTTTAACCACCATGGCGGAAAAGCCTTGTAAAACCAGGCATGCCTCCCTTAACAACCACTTTGCTCAGCAAGGGAAATTCTGACCCCAGTTGCGATCCTAACTCAAGGATTACCAGGACTAATTTTCAAGTGAAGTAGACTTGGTGCTTGGTGTTGGTGACCGACAAGGTTCTCTCACTGTCACCAATCCTTCCCTCTCCGCTTTGCTGAGATCTCTCATCTGCTGGATTTGCTCTCTGCAGGCCTTGCAAAGTCTCTTCTCAAGCCCTCGCTTGGGGGATCCCTCCAGCCGCACCCCACTCTTTGAACGTCAGCCAGAGCCAGAGAAACTGAGGCTGGATGCAGCCTTCCCATTCTTGGGATCAGGTGAGTGTGTGTGTCTGGGTGAGTGTAGGCTGGAGAGCAAAGGGGTTAAAGCAGCGGTTCTCAACCTATGGGTCGCGACCCCATTTGGGGTCGATCGGCCATTTCACGGGGGTCGCCAATCAAGGCTGTCCGCCATTTTTTCCCCTTTTCCGGCGGGTGCCTTACCTCCCTTGAGCTGGGCCAGCTGGTGGTCGGCCTGCTCCGTCTCTGCCGCTTGCCAGCTATGCCTCGGCCAGCGCAGGGGGCGGAACCACGCCTGTGCGGCGCTCCCGGGCAGGGAAAGTCTTCGACTTACGACCGGTTGGGTAGTCCTCGACTTACGACCGGTTTAGTCCTCGACTTACGACCGGTTTAGTCCTCGACTTACGACCGGTTGGGGGTCGCGGCATTAAAAAGGTTGAGAACCACTGGGCTAAAGGCTTAAGTAAAAGGCATCTTCCTTCCTTCTTTTCCTCCCTCCCTCCCTCCTTTTTTATATCCTGCCTGTCTTTATTATTTTTACAAACAACTCAAGGTGGCAAACTTATCCAACACAACTTCCGCCTCCAATTTTCCCCACAACAACCCTGTGAGGTGGGTTGGGCTCAGAGAGAGGGACTGGCCCAAAGTCACCTAGCTGGCGTTCATGCCCAACACAGGCTAGAACTCCCTCTCTCCTGCTGATGGGTCCAAATTCACCCAACTAACTTTCATGGCTAAGGTGGGAGTAGAACTCACGGTCTCTGGGTTTCTAGTCTAGTGCCTTGACCAGGAGACCAAACTGGCTTTCAAAAGATATGGATATTATATTGGAAGTTACGCTACCTGAAACACGTTTATCCAATTCTTGGTCTCCGCATGGAGTGTCTGCTCACCTCTCTTTCCTTCTCCCCACAGGTATGGCTGGGTACACCAAGCCTCCCAGTTTGCTGACTCCATATGGCCGGAATGCCTTTCCCGAATACCCGTGGAATTTTAACCCTTACCTGTCCGGCACTTTCCCTCTGAACAGCTCCAAGCTACCCACCTCTCTGTATTCCCCTCACTTCTACCCCAACCCTTTGTCTGGCTCCCTGGCCCAGCTTCCCACGCCCATCTCCCTCCTGTCCAGCGAAACCCCCGAGAGAACGGCAGCCCTGGGGGGTAGCTCTGTGCCCCGTCTCTGCCTCCCGCCCCATAGCACAACTCTGCCCCTTCGCGGGGATGTCCACGGACCGAGCGCTCGCAATAAGGAACTGCTGGGCACCAGGCCGCCCAGCCCTTCCGGGGGTCGAGGGGCGAAAGAGGACCCAGCGTCCGATTCCGAGTTGGAAATCACAGATTTGAGTGAATGCAGTTCGGAAAACGAAGGTGGCGACTTCAGCCCCGACAGTCTGGAGACGTTAGAGAGCCAGGTGCCAAATTACAAGAGGCTGGAGGCCGAGAGGACGGCCAGAGCGAGGCCTGGTCAGCTAGATGGGGAGGTGGGAGTCGGTCTGGCCCTTATCAAGCAGAGGAAGCCCGTGGCAAGGAGTTGAAACCGAGCCCCAAGGAGCTTGATGGCCGGTGCTTCTCTCTGGTCCCGATTCGAAATCAAGGTGAAAAGAAACAAAACAGAACAAAACCCACCCGTCTCTGTTCGTTTGATGTCTATTTTTATAGGAAAGTTCTATTCAAGGAATATACTGAGTCTAATCCCACGTTCTGCCCCCAAATCCCCATACAATCACCCCTTCTCTAGTCCCTCAGAAAAGGCTGGGATTCTCTCCTGCTCAAAATGATCAATGATGCCAAGACAAAAAAAAAAAGACCGTCTCTTGGAGATGGGGGTAGTTGATGGTCGTGGTAGTGGTGGTGTTGAAAAGAGAGACCCAGATCCCACCTGCCTGGCTGACCGATCTGAGTTTCCCGGTCACACCTTTCCCTCCCTCCCTCCCTCTCAAATTTATTTCCTCCGAGAAGCTACTATCCGTTCAAAGGCCTGTTGCCACCACCGTCCGCCCCAGATCTTCACCACCGACCTCCATGCTCATGGACTGGCCAGTTCCACAACAGCTAAAAACGTTTCAAGGAAATCCCTATCCTAAGGGTGAAATGTGCAATAGCTTTTTTTATTATGTTTTAAAGACCTGTAGAGAGAACCAGTTTAGTTGGTTCTGGTGGCCGAGGGAGAACCCCCAAAGTAGCTTCAGCCAGCTCGGTCCACCGGCCCTCAAATCAGGCATCTACCAGAGGTGAATAGAGATCAACATCTGCCCAAGGTCCTAGCGGGACCTTTTCCCGACTAACCACGTTGATTTAAAAGGCGATGCCTTTTTTGCCCCCATCGATGTGACACGGCTCTCCTCCTATTGAATTCGTCAAAATCTCCCCCAGGCAACTTCGCAGGAGAATTTGCTGGCAAAAAATACACCCTGGGATGGCTTAATTCCATTTTTTTCCCTTGCAGGTGGTCCTTACAGAAATTTAAGGAAGGTAGCAGTTCCCTTAGTCCCAGGAGAGGCTTAAAGGCTGTCCCGTTTTGAAAATTTGTTACTTCCTGTCCTTCAAAGGATCAGCTCTAGAACACCTATTGAGGTTTATAAATCAGGATTCAAGTACAGGAAATCCTCAACTTTTTGACGAACCGCAGTTGGGAATTTCTGATGCTAAGCAAAGCAGTTAAGTGAGCCACACCCAATTTTACCTCTTCCCCCCCTCCCAAGGTTGTTAAGTGAATCCTTGCGGTTGACTCGTGCGGTCATTAAATGAATCACTTCCTCGTCAGAGATCAGCTGGAAAGGTTGCAAATGGCGATCACACGAGCCCAGACGCTGCAACCCTCATGAATACATGTCGGTTGTTGTTGTGGTTAGTTGCGAAGTCATGTCCGACCCATCGCGACCCCATGGACAACGTTCCTCCAGGCCTTCCTGTCCTCTACCATCTTCTGGAGTCCATTGAAGCTCACGCCTACTGCTTCAGTGACTCCATCCAGCCACCTCCTTCTTTGTCGTCCCCTTCTTCTCTTGCCCTCCATCTTTCCCAGCATTAGGCTCTTCTCCAGTGAGTCCTTCCTTCTCATTAGGTGGCCAAAGTACTTGAGTTTCAACTTCAGGATCGGTTGCCAACTGTCTAAATTTTGATCGCGTGACCGTGGAGATGCTGTGATGGTCCTGTGTGTGAGGACCAATAATCATCAAGTCGCTTTTTTCGGCGCCATTTGCAACTTCCAACGGTCACTAAAGGAATGGGTATAAGTCGGGGGTTATCTCTATAGGCTCCCAAGTACCAATTGTTGCTGGGAAGAAGTGTTCTTTACATTTTACATTTTTTCAGAGCGCAACTAAGTTGTTGCATGGCAGCGTGGCCTCTTTAGGAAGTGTACCTCTTCGGGTAACATCTGGAGATGACACCGGATGGCCCTAAGGAAGCTATGAGCTTGGTTAATGGCCAGAAACCGCTGGCTAATCCAGCTGCACTTCAGAAGTAGGACGCTGGAATTTGGGGAACAAGAGGGCCAGTTGATTACTTTATTATTCCATGTCCCGACATCCTGAGCTTTTTGAAGTGCAATATTGTCTTGTCTATTCTGGTGTGACCTTTCTGTAAACATACCCAACCCACCCCTCCTCACCCCCACTTCTCCAAAGCGAGCAAACACACGTTTCACCCCATCGCTGTGCTTGTGACTCCGTGTTTTAAACAAGAGAAACGAAACTGTACTTGTGTGGTGGATATGAAGAAGTTGTGAAAAGTCCCATTCCTCCTCTTCCTTCCTTTCTTTTTTTTTTTGTTTGTAAATATTGCATTAATTTATGGAGTGTAAAAAACAAAACAAAAAACAAGAGATGGAAAATTTTACGCCAGCTGCTCCCGCTGGCCTCAAAAGCAATAAAATATCTATTCGCTGCATCATCTCTACTCACAGGTGAAAGGCAGAGAAAGGCAGGACAGGTGTGTGTGTGTGTGTGTGTGTGTGTGAGAGAGAGAGAGAGAGAGAAAGAGAGAAAGAGAATGAGAATATCTCAAAGGATTTATATTTCTTTCTCTAAGCAGTGTTTCTCAACCTTGACAATTTTAAGGCATGTGGACTTCAGCTCCCAGAATTCCACAGCCAGCACTGCTGGCTGTGGAATTCTGGGAGTTGAAGTCCACATGCCTTAAAATTGTCAAGGTTGAGAAACACTGCAAAAGCAAATAAATTGACAACACTGAGCATTAAAAGGTCCCATTCAGTTCAATGGCACCTATTTTCCCACAGGTACAGGCCAGCAAAGACTATTTGAAACACACACACACACACACACACACCAGTTCCAGAATTTCAGCACTGCAATTGTCCTTGGGTTGAGCTAATTAGCAGAATAATCACTGATAATCTAGCATTATGAGGGTAACAGGAGGAATCTTAATCTCGCCAAAGGATGGAGCGATTCTAACTGCATCTTGTTCTTCTGGAATAGAATGCCAAGCTGCTTGGATAAGTTTTATTTCATTTTATGCAAAGAATCCTGGGAAATGTAGTTACAGGAGTTGCTGAAAAGTCTATTAAGGACCAGAAATAGAGACTACTTTTTCCCCTCCTCCTTTGCTTCTTTCTCTTTTTTTCTGCTTCCTTCTCCTCCTCCTCTTCTCCTCCCCTTCTCCATCTCCTCCTCCACTACACTACCAGACATTCAGTTCCCAGAAGGGTTAGACATGGTTTAAATACCCAGAAAGGGCAAGATATTGGTTTAAAATCCATATATTAACAGAGACCCCTGTCCATGGACTTTCCCACTCAACCTATTAAGAGGCAGAACAGCCTACAAGGATCTTAGCTTCTTTAGCTTTTCAAAATGAAGGCCATTTCAGGCTGGAGACCACAAGAGGTGAAGACTCGGGGCAATCCTACCATCACAGCTCCAAAGAGGTATGATTGGGCAAGCAAAAATCAAGAAATAAATAACCGAATACATGAGAAGCACAAAGGAAATGGAAAGATAAGGTTTATTTTTTATCATAGTCATATATATATATCTTTTTACACGATTGTCTTTGGTTTACTCTCTGCTCACTTTCATCTGTCTTTACCCCTTTTGCAACGCACGTTAAGACTTTCAAATCTTTTCTACCTTAGGTAGTGGGAGTATAACTTCCAGAATTCCTAAACATTTTGCTAGAAGGAATTCTGGAAGTGGTAGGTCCAGCAGATCTAGCGAGGCTCAGAGCAAGGAAGCCGATCAAAAGGATGGGATTCAAGCAAACAGGAGTCTCAACCCCTATGCTCTTAAGGAAGAACAGGAAATGTTGCAATATCCCATAATACCCACCCTTCTTTTTCACCCCATCATTAAACAGATGTCAAAATTATTGGACCTCACTCTTAAGAGGAGCCCCCCCCCCTTTCTACCACTCCTATGATGCTTTTCTATCAAAAACTGCCAGCCTACTTTCTGCTTTATGTGTGAACTGAAATCCAACATTAAACATTCAATGGAGCATAACCAACCATGGTGCCATTATGAAAGCATTCTCAAGACCGTTTACCATAAAACTCCGAGAAAAAGTAGGAAAAGGTGAACCTTTGTGCCACTTGTCCAGAGTGGGGTTTAAAGAACAAAAACTGCATTTAGAGAGACATTTCCCAGCTCAGAACATCTCAAACACAAATATAAAAAAGAGATTGGTATAGAATTGAGAGAATGGGTACAAATAAATATCTAAGAATCTTTATGCTGCCTGGCTCAGCCTGGAAAAAGAGTAACAGTCTAAATATTTTGGTCCCCAATGGTATTTACAATTTTAAAATTCCCGTTATTTTCAGGTGGACGTGTGTTAGAGCAAAATAAAGCCATGGCAAATTACTGAAGCAGGTTAAAATACCCCAGCATCAAGATTCCCGGGAAGTTACGAGCTAATGCATGGGGTAGCAAGTAAAATATAGCTAAAATAGCCCATCCCTATAATAAGGATCTTCATTAATATAATGTACATTTATCATCAAACCACTGGATTATGCACTTTGGTTAAGAATATTGAATTTGGCAAATGGATGATTTCAAATCACTGGTTAAGCTTCGAAATTCCCAAGAATTTGGAACTGGAGACTGTGATCCAGCCACCAAGTGAGCAGATTAAAAAAATAAAAGTTATGCACCAAATGTGCCCTGCCAGGAATCCTGAACGTGTGCTAACCCCAACATTTTTCTCCACTTTGATCAAACCTGGGAAACGGCTTTCCGTGTCTCTTTTGAGGCTTAAAATATAAAGTGAGGTTCTGATCACATCATGATTTCTTCTACGATACAGCTATGCAAGAAACGCAGGGCAGGCCACAGCCCGTTTATAGAAATGGAAAAGAAAAATGCATTCTCCTTTAATTTCTGCCTGGAAAAAAAAATAGAGGGGAGAGCCAGGAACATACTATTTGTAGGAAAAAAAGAGTTCTAGGGACGATCTTGAAAATATTTCTTAACACTGCAAAAGGCGTCAGCTGTGAAAACAGGTCTTTTAGGACCAACATCCTCTTCTCCACCCCTTTTAACATTATATACTTCATAATACTGGGAGGTCA